TCTGGTGTTGGGGCGGCGGAAGAATTGAAGAATCCGTTTGTTCCGGGGGCGTTGGTGGAGAGATTTGAAAGGAGAAGATTAAGGGTGGATTCGTAGGTGCTGTTTTGGGTGAAATTTGTGGGTATGCAGCGGTGAAGAGTCTGAGCGTGTCCATGGATGGCGAAGGCGAAGAGGAAGAGGAAGAGGAAAATGGGAAAATTGAGCATTTCCAAGAATTAGTTCAATTTCCCACTCTATATACCAATGTGATGTTTGGGCAAAATGTGATTTAGAAACCAGGCCAGGCTCTCTAATTATATGTTGTAGTTGGAAAGCGATGGAAAACCACGGATTAGGAAAATTCTCTTTCTTTTTCTTTGGAAATGGGTCAACGAACTCGTCCCTCCTGGAAGAAAAATCAAACCACGGACACGAAGCAATAGTCAATCAACCCCGCTGGACAAGTTTTTTTGGGTTTATTGGTGGTACGATCCAACCATTGACTTTTGAATTTGAAGTTAATAGATGCCTAATTAACTTGTTCTATGCTCGACAAGAAAAAAATTTGAAGTTTACAACTAAGAATGAATGGTTAAGAGTTTTTAGTGATACCGTTGGTGTAAAGCATGTTTAAAAATAAATGTCTACTTAAAATTTTGGTCATAAACTATTAGAATCATGTCTGCAGGTTTGGATGATGGTACTGATTTTGAAAAAAAAAAGATTTACTAATGCCACTTTAACTAATCTCGTAGAAATTAGTAATTTCTAATGCAAGATGGTTATCATGGGTTTGAACTCATTTCTTCTCAATTAATCCTAGTCTCTTTGAATTAATGAGTTTTAGTTGTTAAATATTTAATGGTGATAAAAACAAAATTGTTTTTACTTTTAAGGAGCCAAAGTGTTTTCCTATTAAAAATAAGACTTTATTTTTTTGTTGGCTAATCAAAGCACCAGTATCCGTTGCTTTTAAACCACCCGAACACGAATTTTTCAAAATTTTGAGTATTCGTCATGAATAATTATGGGACGATGCTTGGCTTTTCAGAATTCTATCCATCCTGATGAATTTCCCCATCATCTTTATCTCTCAAAAATATATTTCCTATCTTATTGATCATTTCCAACACCAAACCTCTATTGAAAGCTACTTTCGAAATACTTAGGTCGTGATTGGTGAGGACTTTCTAATACACCATGTGGGGTGAAATTCAAACTCAGAGACTTTTGATTAGATATAGATGTCGTAAACCGTTGAACTATATTCAAGTTGTTTTATATTTCTTAAATATTTAAAATGCAGTGACATAATCTTAAAGTGAATTGAATCAATTAAAATTGAAAATTGAAAGGCAGGTAATAAAGGTGGATTATATTTGATAATATATATTTATCTTTCGAGAAAGTACTTTTTTTTTAATCTTGAATTTTCACTAGCTTAATCAATCTACTAAATTGTGGACTATTTAAAATCATTTGTCAAATTTTAAGGATAAAAAAATGTTCATTTTGATACTTTAAATATATATTTCAAATTTTAAAGATCAAGAGAGTTCATTTTAAAATTTCAAATTTCAATGACCAGTAAAACCTTATTTCAAACCTGACGAACTAAAAAAGTATTTCCCCTTGTTATATATTAATAAATGGATTACATTATTATTTTTATCCATTAAAAAAATATATAAAAAACGAAACAAAAAGATGGAGCCTCCTATTCCAATATCTAAAAGCCAGTGACTAAAGCCTCCAATTCCATTTACGTACATCTATAATTGTACAATAAATACAAATCTTGTGAGATCGAGAAAACAGAACACCAATAAAACATAAGATCAATTTGGATCTAAAACCCAAAGAAAGTACTGCAAATCCCAAGATTTCTAGCTACAACTTCAAAAAAACTTAGCTTAATTTCATGTCTCTTGTTCCTACCATTTGCCCATCACGACCATTTTCCACACAATCCTCAAAAACCAACCGACGATTCCTCGACTTGAACCTCAAAATCTTATATCTAACCCTCGTCTCCAACCCAACCCTCAGATCCACTCTCCCATCAGCAGCACCACAATTCACACTCATCTCAACCTCTTTCCAATCGCTGCTCTCGTGGCCCAAATAAAACCCCGGGACCGACTTCGCCCCAACGCTGTCGTTTTTGCAACGCACGGTTACATTAATCTCGTCAAAGAAGATCCCAGCCATTCTGTTGGGATTTGAGACCGTCATGTTCAAGGCTACAACAGAGCTGCTTCTGGCAAAAGCGGTGTCGTTTTGATGCGGCTTGAGATCCAAATTGGAGATGGCGAAAGTGGGAGTCTTGGGGGTTATGCTGGCCCATATGGCTAAAGAGGTGAGACCCAGAACTGTTACAACCTGCAGAAACCATATGTACACAGAAGTCTCGCATTTGGGAAATGTTTTGGTTTTGGCTGCTGCACTACCCATTTTAATTTAGAGAGATTTTGAGACAGAAGGGTGGTATATTATATAGATTATGCTGCGTTTTTCCTTCTGGAGGAAGAAAGGCTAAGAAATTTTGGTGTCCTGTTTGAGTTTGATTGGAAGAAAGGTGCTTTTTTGCATATCATATGCATTTCTTCGATCACTCCCCACGTTTAAAGGGGATTTATTTGGTGTAAAGTTTCTACTTTTGCGTCATTGATCATCTGGAAAAAAAAAGAACAACAACTTCGAGTTGGGATGGGATTCCTTACTTCCAACTCTCCAAGAAATTGTTCACATTAATTCGGATTTTTTACGAATCCAGTTTCCTGGTTTTCTTTGGTATTATTTAGTCTGTCCGTTCAATTATTTTCTATTTTTTGGTGAATGAAATTGTCTAATACCATTTCTTTTTGGGAAGGGTAAAAAGACAAATTCACTTTAGAGGAAAGTATAAAAACGATCCTTTAATATACTATTTATTCTTATTGCACTTTCATCCCTTCATGTTTGGTTTGGGAAGAAATGATTTATTAGATAATAAAAAATAATCTACTTTCATTATTAAGTGGTTTATTAGATAATAAAAAACAGAAAGATCTATAAACCAATTCAAAATTGAGAAGAATTCTGCGAGAAGACAATTGTACAGTTGGGAAAAAATTCGGTCTCACTTACTAACAGTCAAAATGGAAGCGGATCAATTCCGAGTGAATGATTACCTTTGTCAATTTAGTTATGGCAATATCATTTTTATGTGTGGTCGTAATGATTATCTTTGTCAATTTAGTTATGGCAATATCATTTTTATGTGTGGTCGTGTAGTTGTTCAGACAATAAACTCCAATTATATAAAGATGCAAACTAAAAGTCACACGGCATTGAATCCATAAATAAATAAATAAAATCACTCATAAATTACAAGGATTATTATAATTAAACTCTCAACTACAAACTCTAAATTGCCCCGAGGCAAATATATTGTCAAGGTTATGAAATATTTGTAGTTTTCTTTGTAACGAGTTCTGCCTATTTGTTGTCCAAGACGCTCTAGATCTCATTTAATCTAGCTAATTTTAGGGGTTTGGTTGTTAAGACAAGGTCCCGAGTACCCTTATTTATGATATTGTCCGTTTTGGACATCGTTCTCCTGACTTTGTTTTTTGTTCCACCCATAAAGTCTCATATCCCTCTTCTTCCTTAGTCAATGTGAGACTTTGTTTGTATTTCCCTAACAACCCCAACACTGGTTCCTCTCTAACGTCATTCATTAATTGGAAGGTTTAAAAAAAAAAAAAACTGTCCACTA